TTTTGTACAGTGCCTAAACAAATGTCAACAACTACCCACTCCATACAAACGACTCATTCACGACATAAACATCACAAACGACCGAAAAAGAACAACCTAGCTTTACCGACAGACCGAAACAGACCAATCACGACCGACTTACGTCACTTGAGTCTTACAGCCAATAACATCACGGCAAAACCAACCGATCATTTCACACGAACTGGAATAAGAACATTCTACTGACAACAATCATTCACTTGACTCTGATGATGACTTCCGCACAGGTTGTTGAAACGTCAGTCACTGCCACCGACAACAGTCCTTCTCAGGACTACACTCACCCGGACGATCAGACTACACCTTTACACTTTATTTAAGTGCATTCCTTTGCACAGTACTTTATCGTACTGGATCTTGAAACCGACGTAGGATCTTACCACTAATGGCACAAAAACGTCTTTATAGGAAAGAGAGGTCATTTGACATCATGTAATTATTTTCACCAAGATGCAGGATTGTAGAAAAATGCCCTCGCTTACAAACAATGACATACATCTTTGAAAACTGCCTCATTCTTTTATTGATAGATTGAATTATCTTCGAACTGCACCTCACTCAAAAATTTAGAAATACTCAGACAAAGCAACTCCTTTAAGTTGTTCTTTGACGCATCAGTCGAGAACAATGGACCTCCCTCTTACTTTTAGTGATTCATCTGGACCAATGGTAAGTGAGAAATCAATTAAATCCTAATTCTAATAACAATTCATTAATATGAAAAATATCATACCAGAATATACAATTGATGAATTCCAAGCATTAAATGCTGTAATCCAAGCCTCATACTGATGCCCTGACCACTGCAAAACTTGGCAAAGCTCAGAAGTGCCTTCATTAAATTTGCACAAAGTAATCTGTCCACCTGAGTCACTCACAACAATGTGGCTAAAAAAGGAGACAGACTGGTTATTATAGAACTTTAATTATTCATTTAATTGGCTCATTATTTGGGGATAAACATACAAGATGTTCTCACAACTACTCTTGCAAGAACATCCAACAGATAATGTTCCATTAAGCCATTGATGGTGAGTTATATATTGAGGTACCAGAAAGTAATGATAATGGAGGATGAGACGATTGCAAATAATTATGCAGTTAATAATTACTGTTACGATACTAAACAACCATTATCACTGTAACCTATGATTTCGTAGTTTTTCTTTTTTTGTGTGTGTCCCACGTATATATATTGTAAGAGAAATGGATTTTTGGTTCCCCAGAAAATAGACTATAGGTGATGCAGTGGCTTGATGGTTGGTGCACTCGACTCCAGGCCCCGGTTGTTCGAAGGATGGATAACGCTATACACTGGATAAATCTCTATCTGGTGGATAGCGCAGTATGTTTTGGTAACACTTATGCGCTGGATAGCGATTTATCCGTTGGATAGCGTTATCCGCCCTTTGAACAACCGGAGTCTGATTGAGAGGTTTGTGTTCAAGACCTGGCTGATCATTATGTTATCATGATAGTGAGTTAACTAATAAGAAGTTAGCTAGGTCGCTAGATAGTTGGTTAATAAATTAATAAAGGCTGATAGTTTCGAAAGGAACTGTTTGGGGCTGCATCGGTGGGAGTAACGAAATAATTTGGATATATCAACAAAGTTGAAATGGTAAATTAGCCACCGTAATGATTACAAAAGCTGACGTTTCGAGCGTTAGCCCTTCGTCGGAGCGAATGACGAAGGGCTAACGCTCGAAACGTCAGCTTTTGTAATCATTACGGTGGCTAATTTCCCATTTCAACTTTGTTGATATATCCAGGTTAATAAATTAGTTAATTAGTTAATCAGCTGGTCAGTTAGCTAGTAAATTAGTTAATTCCATTATAAGTTACAGTTTTTACCCTCATTACTACACATTACCTTATTAGTTAGTTTCTTTAATTTACTCATATTTCAGAGATTTTTACCTTCTATAAATTTTATCGGTGCAATCTATAACACTACTGTACAGCACTATTGAATAGCAATAGAAATAGTGCTATATAAATACCGTATTATTATTATGTTGTGCTCTTTGGCAAAGCACTTCACTTTCACAGTCCCTCTCTCCACCCAGGAGGTTACATCGGTACTAGGGAATTGCCTGCCTGATGCCAGGGGGAGAGTAGTAATAATTATCCTAGTTGCTTCATACTAGAAAGACTGGGCTGAGTTTTGACTGGATGGACCACTTGGATCAAATACAGATGATAGACGGACACAATAATTCACAACAATATTGACATTATCATAAGATGGTATTGCCAAATGTCAAACCTGTTTTCATCTTCCAAAGACCAATCCAGTGAAAGACACAATTTTTCTGGACTTGAAATATAACTGGTGCTCTCAACTAATAACTAAAAGAAATTATCAAAAAAGGTTGCCAACATTAGTTCAAAATCTTGCTGGTTAAATGAAAGACTATGATCATTTTAAACAAAAACTGTACAACCTACACATGGGTGAACCCAATAGTAGGAACCATCTTGTGTTCAACTAAGAATGTTGCACATATCCTTTAAGTTATTTGTGTAAACTATGTACCTTTTCTCTGAGGAAATAGATCTTCAGTTCTCCATCTGATGTAACAGCACCAAGTACAGCAGAATCATTTAATGGCTTTGCTAACCTGACAACATTTAAAAGACCCTTAATTCTTAACACCATAACATCAGTATGCATATTCTCCAAACTGTTCTTTATACATTTCCTAAGGTGCTGATTTGGAGAATGTTTAATAACAAGAGCTTCTTTAGTTGGTGATCATTTCCTTTATTCTCCTGACCTTAATGTGTGATTCAGGGGTGATATTGTAAGGAGAAATTAAAAGCTGGTCACTCTTAGCGGTCAAAGGGTTAAAAGACAAGAAATGATCGTAAGAAACATTCAGAAACATTCTCATGAAAATGTAATTTCCTCAGATCAAATTGGCACTCTTAACTTCTTGACTGTGGCATAAAATGTACAGCATGGCTATTTCAATGTGGGTGAAACAAATGCGGAAAACAATCGAAAAAAAACAGTTCAGGTGAAAACAACTTACCACTTTGTATCTAAAATACCACTTGTTTCCTGAGTTTGCAGTTTCTCCAACCTGCAATGTGAAACAAAACTCAAATTTATACATTCATTTATGAGTACACACAACAAGCAAATGACACACCTGATTAAAACAATGAGCACACCAGGTGAACCTTGTACGTGATTCACTCAGGCAATACAGCTGTACATTGCCGACTCTCTTATTCCCAACGCTTGAACATTCCTCTGGGCAAGGTGCGTATCCATCGTTTTTCTCATTGTTCTCGAGCAGCTGATAAGTACCACACACCAAATAGTCTTCAAAACCTTTGACAGGACACCACTCTACGGTATCTGCGTAATAACCCGTATCTAAGGTGCACAGAGTGTCTGTGTACATCTCCGATTGCCATGAGAATCAGCAAGCGCGCAATTTGTGCTAGGCGTTCCTTGTCATTTTCGCTGTTTGACGCCAACCGCGCAGAGGCTTGTGGGAACTGGAAAAAAGATGGCTGCCAAAACTCGAAGCGGCGGAACACAGCGCGTACTTCAGAAACTAAACAAGTCCATTGAAGACGGTGAATATTACGAAGCTCATCAGCTGATAAGAACGCTATACTTTAGGTAGGTTTCTTCCTAGTCGTTTCTATTGGTAAACTGACAGGACTCAATAAGCGAGCTAATATAAAGAAAACACGAATGAGGTAGCGCCTAGGCAATGTGAGCCTCGCTGTAAGGCTGTGATTGATTGGAAATATTCTATTCAAATTAAAACTATGTAAATATGTTAGATATTTTTAAGGTACCGTGGCAATTAAGGTTATGGAAGTGAGATGAAGTTGTTTGTTCGCCTTGAAAATTTGCGTTGCTTCGTTGTTCTGTGAAATATAGTAGTAATGCCCGGTAAAAAACGTGCACTTATCTATTACTAGTAGGTGCTTACGTAAGCAAATTCCATTTCACTGAAACAAATAGAAGGTAAGTTATAGTTTGGGTCTAATAAGATTTAACTAAAAAAGAGAGTGCTCGTACAGAGTTTTAAATTTTGATTCTGAATATGAAATTTCTATTTATGATACCTTACAAAATTGGGATTTCAGTTTCCATAAATTAAATCACCAGACCGTGACAGTAATTTTTATAAATACAACTCAAGCAATGAAAGAACATGCAGATAGATACTTATAAAGTTCAAATTTAACAAACAAGTATCCATGGCAGTTCCACTGAGTAACAATTTTCTTGAATGCCCTTGGACCCCCTCTGATAAAATATGGTATAGGAAAATTCATTACTTGCTGCTACTCATTTTCTTATAGATTAGTTATAAGAATTTGTTGTTAGATCAAGATAACAACTTCTATGTGATAAGTTTGAGGATTCTCATTACCTGTTTGCAGGATTATGTAAGGATATTTCAGGGAGAAGTTACATGTTAATCACTTCTGGGAGTTAAAGGGTTAAGTGATAGATTTATGAATAAATAGGTGGTAGGCTAAGCCTGCATTCAAGCCAAGTGGCCCCTCTAGCAGGAGCTCATCCTGGTTTCCTTAGCTTAAAGCAGTTACGTGTGATGCATGATCCTCACAGTAGAGAGCGCTATTTATGCAATAGCGAAAATCAGACCAGAAAAAAAATCAGGCCTGTACGGGATGCGAACCAATGACCTCTGCAATACTAGTGCAGCACTCTACCAATTGAGCTAACAAGCCAACTGGGAGCAGGCCGTTAAGTTGATTCGTAATAAACCAGTCATGATAAATCAGAGGATCATGCATCACACGTATCTAATACCGCAGTTCAAAATATATGAACTTCGTATATACATTGTATCTTAAAGCAGTTAGTAGTATTACTACTCCCCCCCTGTATGGGATCCCATTCCATTGCGAGGTTACCTTCCCACATTTCATCAGGTTTCTCTGGTGATTCACTAGTACCCATTTTTATTATCTAACTGTGCCTCGTAGAGTACAAATAACGTGCAAGACCAGTATAAATGTCATGCAATATTTGTACTCCAGAAATATCCATGAAATTCACCTGCACTGAAATAACAATTTGGCATGCTGGATAATAAGTCTCTTATTAGACATTTTGTTGTGTAGAATTGCTGAGTATTTTTACTCGATATTTGGATTTTGACTTGCCCCACAGGCCCATCAAAATATGGCACAACTCGTGAAAATACTCAGTGATACTACACAACAAAACATCTAATAAGATATATATACTCCTGAATGAAGAGAGGGACTGTGAGAGTAAAGTGTTTTTCCCAAGAACACATTGACTTGGTCAGGTCTTAAACCTGAACCTCTGGATGTAAAGTCCAGCAATTAACCATTGAACCACCTACTGTGCAGTGAATAAATAGATGAATTAAGATAAATTGCCATAAAAACCTGCAGATAAGCAGCACCTTTTTTCCAAAAATAGTCACTAGAAATTGGGGAACATTTGAAAAAGGTGTCAGGAATGTCAACACCAAATTCTGATCTGATGCCTGGTTACTAAGCTTCAAACGTTCCACTGGCATTCTTGTTGTATTGCAAAAAATCTATGGAAAAACTGTGTTGAATGATAAAAATTACTGTCAACAAATACCAGAAAAAGATTAATCATTTGTCAAAGTTGGTAGAAATGATGTTCATTATATTAAAATTGTGGGTAAGACTTTGAAGTATTTTCCGTTGCATTGTTAATGGTGAGTTTACACTGGATGAACAGTGGATGAAGAAGACTTCTCAAGACTCGACTTTAGATTTCTTTTGATTTCTTTCCAAAAAACTTTTTTACCAAAATTTGAGCTGCTAAATTCAGGGTGTGGCTTATCTGCAGATTTTTACAGTAATGATTGTTAAGTTGAAAATGAGGTAAAAAACTTGTTCTTCCTCTTGTCATTCTGTTCATCTTCTCTTTATTTACACCTTTGTAGCCCCTCCACAGGGTTATTTTTACATGTGTTTTAAACATGAAGGCACGCTATAAAAAGGAGCCTTAGATCCCACTGGACTATTTGTCAATCAACTGTCGTGTGATGTAGAACTCTTAGAGTCAAGTCAGCTTGAGCTACAGCTACTCCAAAGCAGTGAAAAGTAGGCGCATCTTCCTCAAAATTGTTTTATGTCTTCATCACAATACAAGAATTTTTGAGATTTGTATTTCCTTTCTCCAATATAAACTGTCTTTATTTGTGGCGGTAAATTTGAGATCAAAGTAGGTGGTTCGCACGTTACCTCATGCCACCATGCTAGTGGAAGTAAACAATAGATATCTCATTAGCTCCTTTTGTTCGTCTACCAGCATTTAAATTTGACCCGCACATGTCAACAGTGAGTGACAAATGAGAACCTTCTTAGCAAGGTTAATCTTAATTAAAAAATGTATGATCTCATTTCTAGGTATATATCCCAGAAGAGCTATGATGATGCTTTAGAGATAGTTCATAATGGGGCATGCCTATTTCTTAAACACAGACAGGTAATTTTCTTCCAGAGTATTTCTTGTTACTGGTTTCCAAAGGCTGATATTTACCTTATGACCTTTTAACATGTCAAATTCAAGTTCTCCAACATTTTGTTGACAGTACTTTCATGGTCAGATTATTTAGTAAATTGATTCTCAGCAAATGTTATTTTATTTGCAGCTTGCATGTGGAAAGCATATATACCATAATAGGATGCATATACATGAGATACTAACTCTCCCTTATGTCTGAAATGCTTCTAGGAAAGGAGTGGTAATGATTTAGCCTTGCTGATGTTAGAGTGTTTCCGCACAGCAAAGGTGCCTGTTGGAGAAGATGCCTTGGGTAAAATTAAAAGTTTGTTTGAGCTTTATGAACACGGTTCGCCAGACAGACAGGAATTTGTGACAGAAGCAATAAAGTAAGTGGAGATTGATAGGTGATATTCAGGGTAATCAGAAGTTTTGGTTTTATTTCTATGATTGATCTGTTGTATTTATTGAAAGGGGCTCAATGTCATGTAAAATTAATGTTATGAAAAACACAAAATACAAAAGTTTGAAATTATTTGAAATTGAAATCCATTTGAAACTGGAAGGTAAGGTCAAACCGTGATTATCTGGACCTCAATTATCCAAATTTTTCAATTGTCCAGACCTGCTTCCCTGGTTCATTTTTTTATGGATATTAATAACCACTAGTCATATTTGAGATCAGTAACAATTTTCTTCCATCAAACGAAGCACATCAAATGAAACTCCTGTTGGAACTGAACTTGTTCCATTTTCAATAGCCAATTAATGTTTTAGAAATTGTCAAACATTGTTGGAAGGACAAAACAATGGTGATGCTATCTCATTATCCTGACTATTCAGCCCAGTCTACATGTCTTTATTCGTGCTTTTCTCGTTGCCATGTTCCCACCAATAACATAGCTCCGTTTTCTGCCTTTAAAACCACACACAACCCACAATTCCGCTATTCGTTCTGACGAAGGGCTAACGCTTGAAACGTCTGCTTTTGTAATCACTACGGTGGCCGATTTACCATTTCAACTTTGTTGATATATCCAGTCTACATGAGCCTGGATAACCAAGGTTTGACAGTAAACAATTCCATCTCGTTTTGGGGTTAGGCAGGATTGTCAAGCATCCTCATTTATTACTTATGCTGCTCATTAGGGACTTTAAGCAAACCACGATGGCTACGGCAACGAGAACGAGGAAAAACAGTAGATTTAATTGGCAGAACAATAGCCCAGCACGTGCGTTTTGAAACTTTGTACATTTCTTAGCCGTCCTTTGCAAAACAACAACGTGAAATCACCAAAATTTGCGTAGTCTGCGAAGCAAGACAGCGGCGGCAAATTATTTTAATTTACATTTGGAACTGAACACTACTTTTATGTGTTATATTGAGTTTAAGGTCCGGCGCCCTATGAGATGGTAAACACATGCAGCCATTTTCAAAATTCTAACTAAAAATAGAAACTCATTTTTTAATCGACGTCTTCCGTGGCATTGTCGTCCTGACTGCTTAAAGTGCCTATTGTCTGGTGTTGTGAGAAAAAGATTGTAGGTAGGGCAATGAACAGCTTGGTGCAAAAGTGCTAACTGCAAACAGCGTTACTGAAAGGAGGCAGAAGGGCCAAAAATTCTTTAGAACTTACCGTTTGGATATCTTTTTCAAAATTCCCAAATTCTAAGCAGCGATATCATTACATCTGGAGATATTGCACATGAAACTTAGCGTAATATTACATAACTAAGTAGCAAGGAGCAGGGTTATGTATTCCGTGCCTGTTGGAATTCTGCGGCATATTTATCAATGAGAATAGTTAGAGAGTTTTAAAGTGAATGCTTTACTTGATAAAGTGAGAGGCCAACACCAAGTTGGGATCTAAAGGAGAGTCTCAGGTAATCAACATATCCCTGCAACCAGCAAAATCACCAGGCCTTTGAGATTTCAAATGTATCAGCTAAAGGGCAACTGAAAAATAATGCTTCTGGTGCTTGCTACTTTAAATTTTTTTTGATGATCTTTTTACATGAGTTAGAGCAAGGTAATGTGAAGTTTTACTTTATTTATTTCTTTTTTGTTTGTTCTCAGATGGACATCTGATACAGATCCATCCCTTAAGTATGGACATTCTGAGGTACACCTTATGTGTGCACATAACTTTTGGAAAGGTGGGTTTGAAAATATCAGATATCACAGTATACATGTTGAATTGACATGGATTAACAGGGCTCAACACTAACTTTTCAACTTACTAGCCAAGTAGCTAAGAGGTTACGCTAACTTTTCAACTTACTAGCCAAGTAGCTAAGAGGTTACGCTAACTTTTCAACTTACTAGCCACGTAGCTAAGAGGTTATGCTAACTTTTCAACTTACTAGCCAAGTAGCCAAGAGGTTGCGCTAACTTTTCAACTTACTAGCCAAGTAGCTAAGAGGTTACACTTGTCTAACTTTTCAACTTACTAGCCAAGTGGCTTAGATGTCACGACAATTTAGCATTAAAAATAAGCCAAAACTGAATTTGTTCTAGTCAGGGGCTAGTTGGCTACCGTTAGTGTATAGCCCTGGATTAAGAGGCAGTTTGGGGGTAAAGGCACTGGTCTTATAATCTGTTGGTCCTGGGTTCAAGCCCTCCCCCTTGCCACTCACTGGATTTGACCTTGGTAACCCCAAGTTCAACTCCTTTGCTGCACTTTGTATAGAGCCAACTGGTTTGCCCCCTGCCTTTTGGAGTTTCGAAACATTTTATTTATGTTTATTTAAATATTATAGAAAAAACCAGCTACTCAGCTACTCTGTAAATTCAAGATATAATAAAGTCATGTTTATGTTGTTTGTGTTTAATATAGGGTAATTTTAGACCGCCTACCTAGAGGTGCTGTCAGCTCTACATTTCCTATGTCATGATTTTATGTCCTTTATCATCAATGATATAACCAAGTAACAATCCTGTTGGTGAGGGAAAAGGTCTAGTGCAAACCTGTTAGGTTTTCCTTTTATTTCTTTCCTTTAAAAGGAGACATTTAGAATTTTCTGTGCTTAATATTACCTTTTTACTCTAAACAGAGAAAAACTTTGGTGATTCACAATATCACTTTCTGTTTACATCTGATGGACAACAATGTGCAACAATGTTGGTGGAGAGTGCTACAACATTGGGCTATCCTGGAGAGTCAGACTTATTTGTTACACAAGCAGTATTACAGTATGTTTCAATACTTACATGTAAACTATGTTTAGAAGCCAAAAAGCGTAATGTATCAGAACTGTCAACAAGAGCTCTTAGCTGGCCTAGTCTGCCATCTTTAGAAGGTTACTATGACCTCATTTTGCCATAAAATACTGATGAAAATTTGGACAATTATTGAAAAAAAAAAAAATTGTATGATTACAAAGCATAATTATACAAATTCCTAAAATTGTTATTTAGTAATTTGTATAATTACGCTTTGTATAATTATAATTATGTTTTTGTTTTTTATATTTGATGCTGAAAAGCCCTTTGGGGAAGTGGTCAATAAACATGTATTATTACACGACTCGGGCAGTCAGAGGGCCAATAACTAAAATCAACCAATCAAAATGCTCTATTGCCAGTCCAATATTCTCTAAGTATTGGACCGGGCACTGTCCCGAATGGTCCCGAATCATGATAATGCACTTGTGTCCCTTTGAACTTCAGCTGTATAATAAATCTCTTATTAATCAAGCTTGCTCGGGACCGTACTGTAAGAATATTGGTCCTCTGTCTTTTTTGTATGGACCTCGCTGCGCTCGGTCCATACTGTCAAGACCTCGGGCCAATATTCTCCCAGTACGGCCCTCGCACTTGTTTAATAAGATATATTGTGTGTATGTATGTATGTATTTAAGCTATCAAAGAAATTCACACAAGAGTCTCTTCCCAGTTTTTAGTGAAATAGCTCGCACAATGTACCAGTAACAGGTTTAGTCATGGGAGTCAATTCCACCTTCAGAATTTTTGTTAAGTTTTGTGCAAACTTCATGAAGTACTTGGGACATTTTGTCGGAGTAGTTCTCAGTCTTGCAGGTGATCTGACGGGACAATGTGGTATCTATGACAACCTGGCCAACTGCCATTTATTGTTTGCTGTATAATTTCAAGTATCCACCACTATTCTCCTCCACTTCAGGGGATAATTGTTAATTATTTACAAACCTTAAAAAGTAAACAATTAGAAGGAGTCCAATGCCCACAATGTCTCCTTCATGAGACAAAAGTTTTTGTATCTAGATCCATGATTGGCACAGAATGAAATTGTAGTTCCTTATTGTCACCAGTTGTGGGGTAATAAAATAGTTCTGACATTGCTATTTGTCCTTTTCACTTATTTATTCATTTTATTGCATTCTTTAATTTTTTGCAGATTTCTTTGTCTACAGAACCTTATGACTGCTAATCTAGTGTTCTTCAAGTATACTGCACAACATCCAGATTATTCAGGGATTGGTCCTCCTTACCAAAAGCCTCTTCTTAATTTTGTCTGGTTTTTGCTTCTAGTTATAGAAAGGTTTGTTCTTTATGCCCCCATAGAATGTTTTTGTGTCTTAACTTTACATTAATTGGTTATCCTTCTCAATAAATTATTAACAATAAAATCAGAGCTTCTGTCATTTTACAGAAAAAAAAAGATTGATATACACCTTAAGCTCCATAATGTCAGAGTTCATAGTTAACTGGTATCTGTGGGTAATATCCCCTATTAGTTGGGTATTAACACTTTTACTTCCGTGATCTAAAAAGTAACTCTCTGTACCATGTACTATGAATGACGTGTGATATTAGTTTTGAGAATTTGGTATTGAATCAAATGATATTCACTTGTTGTACAGTGGAACCTCGATTTGATGAAGTGCCAAGGGACTGGGGAAGTTGGTTTGTTATATTGGAGGTTCATTATATCAAGGCTCTGTGGCATACATTTTACTTTAACTTTAGCTGGGCTGAAACTGAAGTATTGTTCATTATTAAAAACTATATCATTGGATAATGCAATTCAAGACTTTTTATTGGCTTAGCCACTATGGTGTAGTGCTAATATACCATAATCTACTATCTGTACATTGTAATATCTGGTATCATCTTATAAAATAAAGTCTAGAAGATTTGTCTAATATCTTGGGGGCATTTTTTCTAATAAAACAATTATTTGCGCTTGTTGGATATGAGATGATTATAGCCAACTCTGTGCTACGCGCCTCATTGGCTATCTATCATCTCATATCCAATGCGTGCTCGTGGAATAGTTGTTAATTATACCAAGGACTTTGTTATATAGGGGTTTGTTAAATTGAGGTTCCACTGTAACTTGTTTCTTTATGTTTATCACTTATCTGCATGACAAGGTATTGATTCGGCAAGGAGAAATAGCTTTTCTGTCACTCTTGAGTATGGTCAGTTAAAACTTTGGTTTTGCCTTTTTATGCAAAGTTAGTGAAAGGTAAATTTGGAGTAAAATATAGGCAAAAAAAAAAGAGACCTGTCAGGTATGAGCAGGTTGTCTTCTTCACAGAGTTTTAAATGAGTTCTCTTTCTTGATTATTTAGGAGAGGAAGTCTAAATCAGTTTACAGTGTTGTGTGAAAAATATCAACCTTCCATTGAAAGAGACCCAGTATATAAAGAGGTTTGTGGCTTAATTAAATGAACAGTTGATTAAATCCTGCACTAGTAGTATTGCTATCGTGAGGGAATTAAACTTTTTTTACTGCTTATTGCACAGTATTTAGATAGAATTGGACAACTTTTCTTTGGACTTCCACCAAAACCCTCAAACAAAGGAATGATGGAGGGTATTTTAGGTAAGTGCTTTGTCGTTATTGCTTATTTTATTCTAATCTGGAGTTTCCACACCTCAATAACAACACAGCTCTGTATGAGAACAGGAACTTACCCTTAAATTGAAGTTCTATTTGATTAACTGATGCCATAGCCATTTACATTAACTCTGTAATGGCAGTGTCTTGTTTTTATTTCAGGTGACTTAATGCAGTCTTTGATGGGTGGCGATGAAGGGAATAGTGGTGCATCAACTTCAACTGTAATGAACATAGCATCTGAGGAGGTGGACTAACATAAGCTATTTACAATCTGTACAATCCCAAATTTTTATACTAAGAAGAAATAGCAGTAACAGACTGATGGGTTTCAGCTCAAGGTGCTGGTCTACCCTCCTGGACAAGAACAGCAAGTATTCAGAACCCATTGGAGGTGCAGGCTACTAAATTGCGCTGCTACACATCAGTGCTATGTCAATAAATACAAACATGCAAGAGAATCGGATGAATAAGCAAGGCCTATTTTACGACCATAATGGGATATCAGATCACGATTGTAATGTCTGTGGCCTTTTCAACCATTGTATAAATTTACCTCAGCTGAGCTTGCTCCAATTAGCAGCTTGGCTAACCAATCTAGATGGGTTTTTCCAGTTGGACATTCTTCAGTTTGTATGAACTTGGGAAGGACCACAACGATTCTTTCGAATTGAAAGTTGATTATGAATTACAGGTGTTAAGAATTGTTGTTAACTGGAGAGACTGTAAGATACATGATAATAGTCTTGGAGTGCAGTAAAACACCAGACATGAATAAACTGGTATGGATCAAGAGTTTTTATGGAAAGAGAAACTTTAAACATTGCAAATAGCACAGAAGTGCAAACTGAATCATGTACACCAATAAAGAAAAAAGACAAGTGCAAATACCCAAAGAGTCTATGGGTCTGTATCAAAGCATATGCATCCATCCAGTTTTATTTTACAACTTTTCTGGGTTTTTGGTTGCTGTGTTTGTCTGAGTTTGTCAGCCTCCTCTTCAAACTCTCCTTATTCTGTTTGTCTGCAAAGAGGCCTTTCTTATTTCTTACACTGAAACGTGAACATAACAGTCTTGTAGAGATATCTTGTCATTAAAGAGAGCTTTACATTAGTTTTTATTTTAAAAAAAATAAAAAGAGTAGTAAACTGGAAATTTAAATTTGTGATGGACTGGGTTGTTAGTTTTCACTCAAAGCTGTCAGGCCAGATTAGGTAGTTCCTCAGTTTTAAAGCCTGTAGTTCCTTAGTTTTAGAGCCTGTGAGATAATAATTTAAACTGGGAAAAGTATCCACCATATTCAGTTTGGAAACTTTTCAAAGATGGTATGATCACCATGATGAACAACAACAACCAACTTTATTCACCCTTATTCTTGAGAAGATTAAATTAACATTAAATAAAAAAATTAAAACTTAGAGGGTGTTGGCTTCCTAAAATAACTAGAAGGTTAACAAGGCTAGGACAAGAACCTTAGCACTAAGCAAGTTCTCTAAGAGCGAATCATGTACACAAGACACTAAAAATATATGTGATTGTTGCTTAGTGCGTCCCCCCTTCCACTTTTTTGTCAGTGTTATCAACTTTAACATGGTGTCTAATCTAGCCAAAACGCGATGATTTTCCCGCCTCAGTAATATCTTTAAACAATTACAGCCATTAGGTATAGAAAGTGTAGTTATTGTCTCATGAAATTGTTGGCTTTTGCGTGGAAGCCGCGAACTGGACGCCAAATAATACATCACCAGTTATCATTACTGTCTCACTAACGAAAAGGATCGCGACGTGTTTTTTAGGAATTAAAAATGTCTGTTATATTTTAGAGACCCAAACTGTTACTTGTCTCCTACAAAATCCCTTTGGTCAAGGATGTGTGGATGGCAGAATGAATTTCCTGCAACAAGGGGGATATATCTCTTTCAATTTTCTTTTCTTTCGAGGAAAAGGGGCCAAGGGGAGGGAAGGACATAAACCTCTTTCTGGTCTGCTTTTCCTTAGATCACTGTTGAAAGTTTTTTTTTACAGTCAATTTGAAATATGTTAGGGCTTGACCTGTGGATGAAATATCTCGTAGGTGAGCAGAAATTAAAAAACTGCGAATAAGATCCTGAAAAAAAATAATTAACCGCCTCCCGGTTAGCTTAATGGATAGAGCGCTGGACTGTTGTGCGGGAGGTCGAGGGTTCGAGTCCCGGCCGGACCAACACTCAGGGTCTTAAAATAATTGAGAAGAATTTGGTGCCTTTCTATAACATCAAGAAATGGTTAGATATTCTAGTCTTCTCGGATAGAGACGAATAAATGGAGGTCCCGTCTCCTATAGGGTTGGGGTAGGAGACTTTAATTTCCCGTACACGAGATTACTGTGTGATGGATGTCCTCCCATGGGGTGGGATGGGTGGGTTTATTGGACCCGCAGTAATCGGTGCAAGCTGTTGCGGTGTCCCTGCCCTGCCGGTTGGCGAAGCTAAAAATAAAATAAAATAAAATAATAAGTAGTAATGCCCAACCAGGAGCTGGGAGGCTCGAGACGGGATTCGGGCTCGAGACGGGATTCGGGCTCGAAGCCTGTACTTCATTCGCTGGTCTTTGGTGACGTAGATTAGAACTAGTACACTTTTTTCAATTTTTTTCCGTTTTTCTTTTTCTTTTTTTTTTCCTTGAATAAATCTGTTGAAAGAAAAGAACGTATAGTGACAATTTTTCTACCCCCTCCCCTACCAAGTTTGAAGTTGTCTTCCTCCGTCATTATTTACTATCCCATAATAGGTCCCATAAAATCTTTGAGGGGCCCTCGTACGGCCTTCTCAGTCGTACAAAGACATCACGTAAGTAAGGATGAGATAGATGTAGAAAATCCATTTCCATCTGTGGTTGTTTAGTCGTCACGAAAAGGTTTCCTGTTCGATCGAGAATCTGTTATCATTTCGGAGTGGCTCTAATTAGTCTTTCTGTCATTTTAGAACGATTTAGCCATTAAAAATCAAATGTATTGCTACCGTCTACCATCCACGTTCTAAACTAAAACACCATAAACATATGTACAATTTAGCAATATCTTGAGTGATCAAGAAACGAAAACTAAGATTCACAGTAGACAGTAGTTTATTACTTAATCGTGTTTCAATCGTTTGGACGGAGAAGTTACGCATAAATCATGCGATTTTTCCTCTTCAGCAAATGGCGGATGCAGAACCAGCCGGTGGTGCTCGCGGTGGTTTTCGTGGTGGATTCGGTGGCCGTGGTCGCGGACGAGGCCGTGGTCGTGGCCGAGGAAGGGGTCGTGGAAGGGGTAAAGCCGAAGATAAGGAGGTAAAGAGAATTTGCTGTGTCACGTTATTCGTAAAATTGAGGGACAGTGATAACTGTAAGCGAGCACGTAAAGTGAAAAACATACAAGCCAAGATACAATGAGTGGTAGGTTTTCAGCTGATAGACCGAGATGCAAGCTTCCTTGGTTAATATCAGAGTACTGTATAGCAAGCCACAATAATCCTGGATATTTGTAATATGCACCTGATGAGATGTGCCATTTACAGGTCTCATTATGTGCTGTATAGGTGCATGACTTAATCGTAATCAAAGTTTAATGTCTTTTCGTGGGGCATGGTTACCCATATTGCCCGAGCCAGAGGCTCATGTATGAAACGTAAGACAACAACCCACCCATCCCACCCCAGGGGAGGACATCCATCACACAGTAATCTCGTACGTGGGAAATTAAAAGTCACCTACCCCTAACCCTGCAGGAGACGGGACCTCCATTTATTTGTCCCTATCCGAGAAGACTAGAATATCTAAACCATTTCTTGATGTTATAGAAAGGCAGCATATTCTTCTCAATTATTTTAAGACCTTGAGTGTTGGTCCGGCCGGGGCTCGAACCCTCGACCTCCCTCACATCAGTCCAGCGCTCTATCCATTGAGCTAATTAATCAGTTGTAATGAAGACATTTGTATTTTTTGGCAAGGTTTTGTTTTACATACTAAAGTCTCTGCATAATTTATCTTAAGGCATTCAAGGACTACCACCTTTTGTTGAACACTCAGATAGGGTCATAGTACTCACAGTTCAAGTTATCGGGATGAAATTAAGATGCTATATTTTGAACTGTGATGCATCTCTTCTTTTTCAGTGGGTGCCTGTAACTAAGCTTGGACGCTTGGTTAAGGATATGAAGATCAAAACTTTAGAGCACATTTATCTCTTCTCTCTTCCAATCAAGGTAATGATAATTACATCTGAATGGATGTGTTCTTGTATTGCATATATATGAGTGACAAGGCCATCTGAATTGTAAGAACACAATGAAATTGAGTTATGTGTGACTTTCTAATAAATAATAATAGTGCTAACAATATTGTAGCAGGGAGCCCACTTCACCAAATGGTGCTCTTCAGTGGGGCCCTGCATAAACTAAATTAACTTCAACTACTCACTGGAACATGTTCTCATTTCTGCAAAAATGTTAGAGGCATTGATTCCGATAGCAGTACCATTGTTACACCAATCTTGATTTTCTTGTCAAATCCAGAGATATTAAATGTCAGATTTCATCTGTGCTGATGAATTTTAACCCATTGATTCCTACGTGTAACACGTGCCTACGAAAAGTCAAAATTTTGGAGAAAACAAACACAATGTGCAGTAAATTTTTAAAGATCATCTTTTCCAGAAAACAAACTCCAGTGAAAGAAAACTAATTATAGAAGTTATTTCCGACGAAAAAAGCGATGGGTGCATATGAAGTTTTCACTAAAAAATCAAGATTAAGGATAAAAATCACTAAATATTTTCGCATGTGTGCAAATGACATGCGGATCATATTTCAAAAGGGAATATGCAAATTTGGCCGTGAGTGAAGAGATTTCAAGTTCCATGGAATCTATCGATAGGAAGCAAGACGAAAATGACCAAGAAATATTTGGGGACAACAGATTTATTCAAAACAGTTTTTGATTTGCTGCTATAAGTGAAAGACGTACGAATTTCTTACATGTACAAAGCCCATGTCGTAAAATTCATCATGCTTAGATTGTTGTTTACCTGCCTTCATGGCCAGAAAAGTGCACAGCGTTATGTTGAAAATTCTGAAAAAACTTCGATTTGACGCAAAATCTTCTATTAAACAATACTTTTTGAACACTTTGTCACTCAAACATAATATTTACTGGGCCATCGAATCATCAAATTGTCACTAGGCCCTGCTTGAAGTCCAAAAGTTTGGTTTTCACTTTGCATCCATAATTCACATTGCCTTAGAGAATCATACTGTCGTTGACTCAAGAGCTTATTCTGTCACCTTTAAGACCTTGATATCCATTATTTTCCAAGTAGAGTATTCTATATAGCTTTGTAACTTTACGTTCTGAGTTCCACAAGGTCTAACTCGATCGCAAATGAACAAAAAATCTGATCTGAAAATTTTGAGGGTCGGCCGCGCAGACGCCATATTTTCAAATTTGATCATATAGTGAGGAGGCATAGAATAATGCCCCTCTATTACCCCCTAGAGCCATCAAAATATATGCGCAAACGACGGATTCTGATTGGTTTATTGATCTCCAGACCACAGAGGAAGTTTGGGGACAAAACTCTGCTTAGTATGGGGGTGGGAAAGCGTTCTCGCATGAGCCAATCAGGCGGTTCAAGGTGTCAACATATTAAGCAGACTTTGAAAAATGGGATTTGCATATTTTGTTACATCTGTACCTACTCATATGCGACATGTTAACAAAGCAACCTCGCTAGAAGGCCTGATTGATTTTAGGATATATTCCTATTGAAAATCTATGGTTGGTTTAAAGTTTACCCTCCTAATTTTTCAGGAACACGAGATCATTGACTTCTTTCTTGGTGCTGCCCTGAAAGACGAGGTGCTAAAAATCATGCCTGTACAGAAACAGACAAGAGCAGGTCAGCGTACACGGTTTAAGGCTTTTGTTGCCATTGGTGACAGCAATGGACATGTTGGTCTTGGTGTAAAGTGCTCAAAGGAGGTAGCAACAGCTATTCGTGGTGCTATTATTCTTGCTAAGCTCTCAGTCATTCCTGTTCGTCGTGGCTACTGGGGTAACAAGATCGGTCAGCCTCATACTGTACCTTGCAAGGTTTGTGTTTATTTTCTACACTTCATACTGCCCATGAAAAAAAAATAGTTTGTGGCTTGATGACAAACCAAGAAAGCTGTGTTATTGCTTGTAAAAATTTAAGCTCTCATAAGTCAATTTTAAAGATATATGGGACCTGTCTCTGAAAATTCAGGGCTGTTACTTGTCAATCAAAGCTGTCTTTTCTCTGCTATGTTTATATTCAAGATTGAGATTTTAGTGGTTACGAATTCAAACTGTAGATAATGTCAGGAAACAAAACATAATTTATTATGTTTTGAGTGAAGACCCAGCCTTCTTTTCTATAGATCTACATCCTAATGCTGGTATGGCTTCCAGTCCATTAAGTTCATAAAACTTAAATTGCAAAATGGGCCTTGGGTAACTACTTGGAATAAGTCAATTATCTTAGCCCAACTAACATTTGAGTGAATTTAATAACTAAGTTGTTAAAATTTCTTTTTTCCCAATGCTTTGATGCATTTTGAACTTGAGAGTGTATCTGTTAGTTGAAATTGCAACAAAATGTTTGGACAATTTGTTCACAAAGTCAGGGGCCATGGAGGGAGAGGGGCGGGTAGGGTCTTGGAGGGGGGGGGGGACAGGTAAGGCCACGGTCCCACCACTTTTTTGTGCTTCCGCCCCCACTTTTTGCGCTAAAAAGAAAAATAATTACTATGATTTTATTCTTTTTTCAATTTTCAATATGAAAAAATTATTTTCAATTGTCAGGCCTCCCACTTTACACCTTGCTCCGCAGTACCTGTAAAGTTAATGTCATCTGATCGTCTTAAGCACACTCCTAACAGGAGACAAGTTGGGGTAGAATTGATGTTTCTGACCTGCTACTAGCTGGATTGATTTGTTAGTGATTTCATTACGTGTACACAGTAAAGAACAAAAACCTAAGAAACCTGGAAATAACTCTTCTTACTTGTTTGAACATTGCCTTAAAATTAATTCACATTTTCATCACAGGTGACAGGCAAATGTGGTTCAGTACGTGTGCGTCTTATTCCTGCACCAAGAGGAACTGGCATTGTTTCTGCTCCAGTCCCTAAGAAACTGCTTCAGATGGCCGGTATTGAGGATTGTTATACCTCTGCACGAGGACAGACTGCTACTTTGGGCAATTTTGGTACTTGAGTTTGAATTTTGTAACTTATAATTTATGTCAAGTTTTTTTACAAAGTGTGTGGAATTAAAGTCAGTGACATAGTAGTCAATGACTAGTGTCAAACCTACTGTATGAATTAGATGTGATGCTTGAAAAA